CTAACTGACCAGTCCTTAAACCTATTATTTTAATGGCATGTTATTTGCCTTTAAAAACTTAAAAGCCAAGGAATAGCAGCCCCCAGAGCCTCCTGCTGTTTAGGTGTTTATATATCCTAAATATTTACTGGACTACAAATATGTGCCAGGCAATGTTCTAAGTATTGGGGATATGAATGTTACAAAAGATAAAGGGTTCTGCCCTAATAAACAGATACCTAAGTAAAGTATATGAAGGTCAGATGGGAATAATTGCCATGGACAAAAAGCAAGGAAGGGAGTGTAGGGATTGCTGGGAGGGCAGCTGTGATTTACAATATGTTGAATAATAAGATTGAGGTTGCGTTGGAATCAAGACTAAGGGAGATGAGGAAGTGGCCCATGGATATGTCAGGGGGAAGAGAATTCCTGCCAGGGGAAGGACACGAGGGTGCTGGAGGTGTTCAGGAAGGACCAGGAAGGCCAGCATGGCTGGAGCAGCATGAGTGTGGGAGAAAGCGAAGGGACGTGAGGTCAGGGAGGTGTGGGAGCCGGATCACGAGAGACGTTAGAGGTTGTTGGAAGGACTTAGGATTTATTCTGAGTGAGTTGACAAATCACTGGAGGATTTGCACAGAGGGGTGACATGATTGGATGTACGTGGCTGTTGTGTTGAGAATGGATTTGGGGCAGGGGGCAAGGGTAAAGGCAGAGAGGCCAGTTAGGAGATTGTGCAGTAATCCAGTATGAGTGATGGGGGCTGGTCCAGGGTGGTGGTGACAGGGGAGAAGCAATCTGGCTCTGAATATACACTGAAGGTGGTGCCAACAGGAGCTACTGATGAATTGGAGGTAGGGAGTGAGGAAGAGGAGTTGAAGGTGGCTGCAGAGTTTTTGGCCTGAGCATCTGGAATGAAGGGTTCGCCATTTGTTTATAGGGGGAAGACTGTGGGAGGGGCAGACTGGGCAGGGGATGTTCAGGAATTGGGTTCTGGATGTGGTGCATTTGAGAAGCTTATCACATGTCCAGTGAGAGATCTCCAATAGGCAGCTGGAGTTCATGGGAGTCATCCAGGCTGGAGAGAGCTCAACGTGGGACTCATCAACGTGTGTGTTACTTAAATATGCAAGACCCAGATGTGAGAACCCCAAGGGAGTGAGAGGGGATGGAGAGGAGGAGAGGTCCAATTACTGAGCCCTGGGGCACTCAGATGAACAAAGGGTGGGTGACAAGGAGAGATCAGCAAAGAAGAAAGACTGAGGAGGTGTGGTCAACGAGGTGGGAGGACCACACTGGTGCTCTGGACAGTGGGATGTTCTGCAAGGCAAGGGGAGATGTTTCAAAGACAAAGGAGTGAATGCCTATGTCAAATACTGCTACGAGATTGATTATTGAGGCCTGAGTCATCGGTGACCTTGACGAGCATATTTTGGTTGAGGAGAGAGAATGGAAAGCCAAGAATTAGAGACGAGTGTAGACCACTCTTTCTGGAAGTTTTTCTGTAGAGGGGAGAAAGTAATGAAGTAGGAGCCAGAAAGAAAATGTGGTCAGAGAGAAGTGTTTTTAAATGGTGGCGACTAGAGTCCCATGTTTGGATGTTGATGGGAATGATCCAGTAGAGAGAAGTTTGGTGATGCCAGGAGGGTGGGGAGGATCATGGAGTGATGTCCTTGAACGGGCCAAGGGGATGAGACTCTGGGGAGGGGTGCAGGAGTTGGCCTTGAGTTGATAGCAGGAGGAAGGTAGCATATGGCCCAGGTGTTGGTGGCCGCTCTTTCTTAAAGGGCCAGAGAGGGTAAATATTTTAGACTTGGGGGACATAAGGTCTCTGTCACAACTATTCAGCTCTGAAGTTGTAGCTGAAAAGCAGCCACAGATGATACTGATATTAAATTATAAAACTAGGTCGCTGGCCAGTGGGCCATAGTTTTCAAACCTCTCTTGTAGATGATTCTGTGGCTTTTCTCTCCGTACTCACTGATACTGAGCCATTCCTGCATTCTGGACTAACCCAGCTTGACCCTGCCAGATCTACTGCTGCAATCTGTTTATTAATATTTTATTTGGGATCTTTATATGTTTACTCAGGAATGAGATTAATCCACGTGTGTGTGTGTGTGTGTGTGTGTATTTCTTTGTCAGGCTTTGTTCCATAAAATGAATGGGGAAAATTTCATCTTTTAAATGCTGTAGAACAAAGAATGGTTTATTCTTTGAAAGACTGATAAAACTTCCTCCCAAAGAAACTATCTTGGCCTGATGTCTCTTTTGGAGGTAGTTCTTTGAGATTTTTTTCACTTTATTTCAGGGTTATTGACCTCTTCATGTTTTCTATTACTTTTGAATCGATTTTGGGAATTTATATTTTTCTAGAAAATCATCCATTTTATCTAGATTTTCCATGATTTGTCATTGATTTAGGCCTGGTCAATCTCTTAGTATTTTTATTCTCTTTATCTTTTTATTTGATCTTTCTCATTCCTAATGGTGTGCCTACTTTAAAAAATATGAGATTTGATAAGTACTTATCTATCTTATTGGTCTTTTGAAAGCTTTCTCTGAGGTTTGATTACCAATTGTAGTATTCGTCTCCTTTCTAATATATTTATTTCTGCCTGCCGTTTTCTTTGGTCTTCTTGCTCTTTTCAACTTCCTGAATTATCAAGTTATTTATTTTCATTGTTTTGTATGAAAGTGAAAACATTTGAGATTGACTTTTCCTCCAAGTACAGGCTTGGTACAGCCCATCAAGTTTGGAGCATATGCCTCTCATTGTTGGTATTTTCTAAGTACCTGTGGTTTTAGTTTTGGTTTTCTTTTTGACTCAGGAGGTTTTTAAGGTGTGCCTTTAAATTTCCAAAAGGTTGAGATTTTAATTTAAAAAATTCTCATTCATTTGTAGTTTTTATTGCAGTGCAGTCAGAAAATGTGACTGAAAGGAGTTTTATTTCTGGGACTTTACTGAGATTTGCTTTGTGGCTTTTTATTTTTTCTAAGTGCTCCAAGGGTGCTGGAAAAGAAGGTATATTTTCTGTTTTTAGTTACATAATGTTTGTCTTTGTTGATGGTATTATTCACAACTCTGTCTTCTATTCTTTTTAAATTTACTTGGTTTTTTAAGACAGAGGGAAAGGTAACATCTTTCCCACAATTCTTATATTTCTGCCTTTTCTGGTACAAAACACTGGCTGGTTGCCTGTCTGTTCCTGACTGTGAGCCTGATTTATAAATTTAAATCTTTAAGTATCTGTTCTGAGAAAGAAAATAAAGATTTAGGAGGAATCAAACAGCTAAATTGAATTCCATTTTAACTGTTTCTACCTAAGTCTACATATTTTCCTGTGTGTTAGGATGTGTCCTTGTGTATTTTTGTGGGAGTATATGTGTGTTTCAGCATATCTATCTCCTTTGTGCCTGACTGTGTAAATATTCTTCTGTGTGTTGGTCACTGTGTGAGTTTGATTTGTATGTCTGTATAAGTGTGTCCATCCCCAGCATCTTTTTCATTAAATTGAACTTCAAACATCAGGGCTAGGGTCTGCCTTGCTCTCTACTGGCTTTTTCTAGAGTGGTTACAAGTCAGAAAGCTCTACTATCCTGTGTCTAACCAATCTGAACCTCTTTTCTTCCCTCCTGGCTGCAGAAGACCCTCCGGGTAAGTCGAACGGATAGTGACAGCCTCACTCTGTCACTCATTCTCCGTGCTGTGTGTCTGGGGACCACATCTGGCCACACCAGTGGTGTTAGGATCACACTTCCAGGATGGGTGGAGACTCTGAGAACCTCATCCTACCCTCTCCCCTGTGTGCCTGTTCAGGTGCCCTTGGCCTGGCCCCAGCTCGTGCTTACCCTGAAGAAGCTGGAACTCAAAGCACTCAGCATTGGTAAAAAGGGCGTAGCCAGCACTTGCAGAAACTTGATGGTAGATGTTCAGTTCATTTTATAGAATCAGAGCAGGCTCCTGGGAGATCTTCTAGCCTACTACTCATACAGAGGAAGAAAGCGAGTCCCAGAATGGGCTCTCCTGACCCCGTGTCCTTGTCCCTTCCCACCATGCTGGATGAGCTTCTGTGGTACGGGCAGGCCCAGACCTAGTGTCTAGCTCTGGGTGGGTTTTGGGGGAAGGGCTGGGAAGGAGTGACCATCCCACCTTCAGGGAACTGCTGACTCCTTGGGTGACAGGACACACCACCTACACAGGACACAGCTGGGGGAGCATTCTAGGCACCAGATCTAAGAGAGTATGTGGACTAACCATGTGCAGGAGGAGTTAAAAGTGTGGAGACCAGTATTTTCTGTAACAGGCCTGTCCACCTTTTCCTGCAATTATGAGTGACTGGAGGAAGGAAGGGCAGAGAGTGGGTTGTCAAAACTTTCTTTTCTTCTCACCTAATTCCCACTTTTACAAGTGTCTTTTGAATAACGGACACTTGAGTATTTTCTGATTTTCAGGGACTCTGCCTTGATTTGACCTTGGGGGAAGCTAAGTTCTGATCTCCAACACTTCCTTTATTGCCAGAGTTGGCGGGGGGGAGGGGTGCGGGTCAGGGGGGCAGGACAGCTCTTTTGGGTCTAAGTTTTCCTGGATCTACTGCATTTTATTTATAAATAAGAGATTATCGACATTTTCCCCAAAGAGTTACCTTATGTATGCTCTGATTTTAGCCTGCGCGTGTCCCTGGGATGTGGGGAGTACCAGGATGATTATGCCCACTTTAGAGAAAGGAAAAAGGAAAAGAGGGGCTCGAGAGCTTGACAGAAACACACAGCAAGTGGGGGCAGAGCCAGTGCTGAGCCTCGCGTCTCAACGCCAAGCAAGTGTTAAACCCTTTTCTTCCAATTTGCACAGTTTTTGCCCCTGGAGAGGCGGGAGGCTTCAGCTCTCTGCTTCACTGAATTCACTCCACAGGAAAGCCTTGAAGTCCAGGCTGGCCCAGCAGCCTTGGAAGGTGTCCAATTCAGAAGGATCTCACTTGGCAAGTTCTGTTTCTTAAATGGTCTCTTTTTTTCTACCCACTCAGGAAGAGGAGTTCATCGATTGGTGGAGCAAATTCTTTGCCTCCATTGGGGAGAGGGAAAAGTGTGGCTCCTACTTGGAGAAGGATTTTGACACTCTAAAGGTGAGGCCTCTCTCCAAAATGGCTCCCTCAGTCAACAGTCGTCGCTGGGCACATGGCATGGGTAGTGGAAGATACAATAGAAAGAGACCACGTGTGTGTGTGTGTGTGTGTGTGTGTGTGTGTCTCCGTCTCCTCATTTGGTGCCTGAGGGTGATGAGTCCTGATGAACTAGTTGAAGTAAGAAGGGTCACTCATCGATTTAGAGCAAGAAGTCAACATGGGCTGGGATAGCCAAGGAAGTATTTCTGGGAGGATGCTGAAAAATACTGAAGTATATACAGGTGAAATGATGCCTGAGATTTGCTTTAAAATGCCCCCCAACCCCCCAAAATAGTGTGGTGGCCCTCTGACAGATATTTAAAATATTAAAAATTATTTAAAATTGCAAAATGTTGAAAAGTGTTAAAACTTGGAGACAAATACTTAAGGGTTTGCAGCATTAGTCTCTTTGTTTGTGCTATTTGAACTTTCCTATAATAGAAAATTTATGTTAAAATAAAAAGTTAGCTTGAGAATATACCTGTGAACCTCCACCCCTACTATTGGGACAGAAATTATCTAGCAAATATAAAAATATGTTAAACCCTATTTGTGTGGGAATAAACAGGGACAAGTCAGCCAAATTCTGGTATTTTGAGGAAATTCTACAAATATAATTACTCTTTTTAAAAGTGGGCTAATTTTTAAAAAGATACCCAGAGGTGACTCAGAAATGACTCCTCAAAGGAGTAATATAATCTCCCAGATAGAGTTGCCAGCTAAAATTCAGGATGCCCAGTTACATTTGAATTTCAGATAAACAATGAATAATTTGTGTTTATTTTATCTTATAAATGTGCTTCAAATATTGCACAGGACATACTTACCTAAAAATGATTTGTTATTTATCTGAAATTCAAATTTAACTGGTGTTCTGTATTTTTACTTGCTAAATCTGGCCACTCTACTTCTGGCATATGAATGGGGAGATTCTGTACCCCACGATTACCTCCCAGGCTTAAAGAAGAGAAAGTGAGAGGTGGGCATAGGCTGTTGGAGGGGCCTGGAGAATTGAGAGTTGAGGCGAGATTGGGGAGTGGGTGTCCTGGGCTTTTGAGGATTCTTCTGGCTGAAGGCTTTTGCTGGAGACTCTGAGGGCAATTTCGCGGGTGGCAAGAGTAGTCTCTGATACGTTGGCGGCTGCCTGGCAAATTGTGCCTGGAGACCTGGCTGCTCAGAAATGAGGCCACAGGCAGCAGCAGTGGCTCCTTAGGCTCCTCAGGCAGCAAGTTCCTCACTGACTTGGTAGCTGGGTGTGTGAGGTTGGGCAAAGAGACAGAACTATTTGTGCACCAGGAAGAAGGTCCGACACATTAGGTCTGGCATGTGGTACTGTGGCCTTGCCAAAAAATGAAACCAGCCAAGCAAGAATGAGGACTTCTGCCAGGGTGGCCTATGGCCCGGGCCCCTTCATTACTTCCTCTGATGCCGGATGCCGAATTGGCACCCAGCCCTCCTGCTTGACCTCTCTGAGGAGGTCTCCAACAGCATCCAAGTGAAATTAGGCTGTCCAAAGCAACTTGCACTCAAACTATTTCTGGGGGAAAAACTAGACCTGGAAGGAACAGTGGCCCTTTAAGGATAAGTAAATAGAGGAAAGCAACCACCAACAAAACGGGTCTTTGAAAAATAGCCTGTAGCATTCTGGAGAGATTGGAGTACACAATAAGCAGAGAAAAAACACACTTTGGAAATCACTAGCATAGGGGAAAAAACAAGTCATGGTCTAAATGGCAAAATATAGAAAACAAAAGATGCAGCAAGAAAGTAGTAAACACAGAAATCATAGAAAAAAAACACAGTAGAAAAAGAACATGACATATTAGTTTTCCTAATAAATAAAAACGGATTAAACTCCCCTATTAAGTGATAAGGACTATTAGACTGTATCAAATGTCAAAATTCATTAAAAAGTCTTTAAAAGACACATCTAAAACAATAAACCTAGAATGGCTAAGAAATAAATATTTTGGTAATGAAAACAAAATAAATGTAAAAAAAGGGAAAGAGAATTTTAAGAAAAAACAAAGGAAACAAAATAGTGTCTTATATTAATAAAATATATACATTTTAATGAAAAGACTTCCAAGTATTTATGCATAGAAATAGTAAAGCACAGAAAACATAAAGCAAAAATGAATAGGAATTATATAAATTAATACATCACACAAATAAAAACACAAAATGACAGAAATTAAAGTTTCAGTGGGGATTTTAATATGTCTTTCTGCTTGACCATTCAAGCAGGCCATAAATAAACATGGACATCAAAGATCTGTATAACAAGGTAAATGTTTCTAAAGCTACATCAAGTTAAAGTTGTAGTTTTACATGAAGCTAAAGTTGTAGCTTTAAAATGGAGAATAAAAATAATAAAAATAGAGAATACATTTTTTACTAATGCTCAGAGAATACTTGCAAAATTTGATCACATATTAGTTTAAGAATAAGTTATCAAAAGCAGTAATTATACAAGATAGATTAAAATGCAATAACATAAGAAATTAAAAACAAAAGTTTAAACAAAAAGTCTAACCACTTGGAAATTAAAAAAAGTATTTTATTGGGACTTCCAGTATGAACAAGGCTGCATAAGTCAGCATTTTCCCTCTTTTCTCTTGGAAATTATTCAAACCCACAGAATCCATTTTCAGAAAAGTTGGACACAAATAAGATCCGCAGTCTCCAAAATATATGCAAGGGCTGCCCAAAGACAACTGAGATTGGGTAGAGGCCACTCAGCAGTAAATGAAGAGAAGATGCATGAAGAATGATGAAAGGTCATAGTGGCAGCAAATCTCAGGAAGCCCCACCAAAATATACTTACTAAAGGAAGGATGTTGATAATTATTTGACAGTTGATGGGTACACTGGGGTTTATTATCTATTCTCTTTACTTTTGTGTGTGATTGAAAAATTTTTATAACAAATACTTTCAAAATACAGTTCCTGAAATTGAGGTTTCATCATGAAATATAGAAGTTATCTCCCCTGTTTGCAGCAATGGATATGGGAACTTTGGAGACAGGTTTGGGCTGATGACAGAAGCCTCCTAGACCTAGTTTGGTTCAGAGAAGCAGAGAAGGTGGAGCTACAGAAGAATCATGCAGATGAGCCATATTTGCAGGAAGCAGCCTGCCTCTGTGGTGGGAACAAAGGAAACAGCTGGTCTAAGAAAATCCAGCTCATTTGGTGACAAGTAATAATAAAAGAAATGGCACAGCATTAATTTAAAAATCCTACAAAATAAAGAAGAGAAAACAGACATCAAAACTAACCAACAGATAGGATATATCCCACCAGAAAAATTTTGCCAAGGAGCAGATGAGATGAAATGTTTTGCTGTGAACTTTTTAGAAATAGGGCAGTCAGAATGCAAAGCAGAAATGAAAGAACTCAAGGGATGATGAGATGGATGGAGATGAATTCCAAGCTGATAGGACTCATGAAAGAAAGAGAAGAAAACATGAAACCAGAAGGAGCACAGGGCAGAAGGCTGCATGGAGAACATAGTCAGGGGCATAGCAGACAGAAATGATAAAAGTAAGCTAAATGAAATGAAATTTTAAAAAGTCATAAAGAAATAAAGAGAAAATGATGACAGATGTGGAAGTCAGGAAAAGGAGACCCAACATTTGCATAATTGGAGTCTCTGAGGAGGACAACCAAAACAGTGAAATAAAACAAATAAACACAAAATAATTTAATAAAACTTCAGTGAAATGAAAGAATAGTTGAATATATTGAACTGTATGTCAGGAAAAATTGACCCAGACTGGTCAACCCTGAGACATATCCTAGTATAGTTAGTGTACTTTAGAGATAAAGAAAGAATTCTTTGAGTAGTCATAACTCTTTCTTACTCCTCGAAAACAACAATGACATTAAGTCATTTAAAAAAAGAAATAAATCAAGATGGCTTCAAGTTTTCTACAACAATATTCAATATCTAAAGAAAGTAAAGCACCATATAGAAAATAATCAATGAAAGACAAGGTGACCCAAGGATTTTATATTCAGCCAAGCTGCCCTCCAAGCATAAAGGCTACGACAACCAGTTATACCAGTTATGCATATTTCAGGGACTCAGGTAGTGTGATTCCAATGGGCCTGTCTTAAATCAACTCCTAGGGGATGAACTTTAGCCAACTAAGAGATAATTGGGAAAACTAGAACAAAAGAACTGGTGATAATCATATTTTACCTTAGAACCAAAATGAAAACAAATGGAAGGGTTAAGGTTACAGGAAAGAATGTAAATATCATGTATAGTGAAAATGTAGAAACGATGAAACTGACAAAAATGAGGTAGGGACGGAGGAAAGAGGATGAGATGTAAAGACATTGAATAATAAGAATAAATAGAGTTGACAGATATTTAAAATGGGGAAGTCAAATAATAGGAATATAAGCAAATTGTAAGCAAATCATGCAAAGGTAAATGTTAAGGAAGACAATATTGTTAAAACTGGGTGATAGAGAGGGAGGGAAATAAAATTTGATTATTTTATTGTTGCTATATTAGGGAACCCATAAATACTGTCCCTAAAGCCATAGAGGAGTAATATATTCAAATTTATATATACAAGAAAATTATCAAAGAATTACCTCCAAAGAAAGAGCTGGTGTCAGGGAGTTACTGAGGGAATTTCCTAAATCTTGAAGAGTAAATAATTCCTGTGACAGATACACTATTCCACAACAAAGAAAAAATTAAAAGAGAGAAAACCTTGATTTTTATAGGGCTAGAATTACCTTACCACCAAATCTGATAAAACCCACCCATACATATAAATCTCATTTATGAAATGAATATATGCACAAAATCTCAAATAAATAATAGCAAGTGGAATCTAACCACATATTAAAATAATAAGTCATGGGCTGATTGGTTAGCTCAGCTGGTTAGAGTGTGGGGTTGATAGCACCGAGGTCCGGGGTTCTATCCTGTACTGGCCAGCCACCAAAAATGAAAGAAAGAATAAAATATTAAGTCACAATAACCAAACTGACTTTATTTCAGGAATATAAAGAGTTCTACATTAGGAAATCATTAACAATATTCATCATATCAATAGGTAAAATTAACAAGGATTATCTCAATAGATGGTGAAAAATATTTGATAAAATTCAATATCTATTGATGATTCATAAGAACAAGTAATATATTGAAAATAGAAAGGAGTTTTCTTAATGTTGTAAAGAGTAGCTCTCAAACCACTGGCCAGTTTCCATCTTCATCATTTCAGAAGGTCTCTTTATCCCCAGAAATTGAATCTGTATTTCTAAAGAATGTTCATAAGTACATTTGTCTGGGGCAAGTGTCCATAGCTTATTGATTTGAGATGGCCGAAGAGCTCTGTGACTCATTAGAGGTTAAGACACTGAGTGAAACGCTAGGGACAACCCTTCCGACAAACATAGGGAAAGACTCACTAATATCACATTCACATTATCATTTAACATTGTTCTCTATGCCCTGACCATTTCAACGTCAACAAAGAGAAATAGGTCATTCATTTTAGAAAGGAAGAGACAGCATTACCATTCTGAACAACTGACTTTCTTGACCACCTGAAGACAACCAACTGGAAAATTAGTAGAACCATCAGAAGACCCCAGTAATATGTCAGCAACTATTTAGAAAATCTAGTGGAAGAATTACATTCACAGTACCAAAAAAACAATTTAGCTTAACCAGGAATAAACTCAGCGATAAATACTAGGGTACTTCAAATAGTTCATGGAATAATAGAATTAAAAGATAATATGAATCTTTCCATGGGCTTTTGAAGACCCTTGTATGTAGACTCTATATGGAGATACCTATAAATAATAAAAGAAGTCTTGAGTAAATTGAGAATCACATTGTATCCGTGGATAAAAAAGTCAATACTATACAGATATCAGTTCCCCTCCCCAAAATTAATTGTAGGTTTAAGCAAGTCTAACTAAAATTCCAAAGAAACATTTGTTTAGAACTGGACTTAATGTTTCAAAATTTCATCTGGATGGATACCAGGTAACAAAACAGGTCATGAAGCAGCAATAATTAAAACATAGTGTTGGTGAAGAATAGACAGATTAACACAGCAGAATAGGAAGACCACAGACAAAAGGATGTGTAAGCATTTAGTGTGTGGTACAAGTCACTGGAAAGAAGAGAAACGGTTTAAATGAATATGATGTTTAGATAATGGCGTAACCATATGGTGAAAAGTGAGTTGCGTTCTTCCTCAAATCATGTACCAAATTGAGCTGAGTGTTTAATAATGTTGCTCTGAAGACATTCTAAACTTAGTGTGAAAGGCAGAGGCTATATAAAGAAAAAGATCGTTAGATGAGACTGTCCAGAACTTTCTGGTATGGCTACAAAAATCATAAACAAAAATAAACAAATATTCCATAAACAAATATAAACATACCATAAACAAACATGAATATAAACGTAAACACACCATAAACAAAAATTTTGTAAACATGTCATAAACGTAATTGAAAGGCAAGTGACAAACTGGGACAAAATATTTGTAACACATTTGATAAACCAGAGGTTAGTATCCTTTACATGTAAAGAGGTCCTTCAAATCATTAGCGAACAGAAAATAGACACCAATAGATGGAAAATGGACAAATGACAAGGATGAGCATTTCTCAAAGAAATACAAATGGCTGATAAACCCATCCACGTTTCTCTAGTATTCACATAAATGCAAATTAAAAATTCAGTATACCATCTTTCATGTATTTAATTAACAAAGTTAAAAAAGGATGCAAATACAGAGCAGCAGTGAAAGACTGGCATAAGGGCACACTCTCACACTGTAGGTAGAAATATATATCCATGCAATTTTTCCAGAGGGCAATTTGGCTGTGTGCATCAAAGGTCATAAAATGTGTATGCTTTTTGACCAGGAATTCTATTTCTAGGAACTTATCATAGAGATAAATTTAAACAAAAGCAGAGGAACTTGTATAATGGTTTTTAAAACTCCCGTAACCTATAGGTGGTTTATAAAAAATAAGATTGAAAAACTGCTAAACTTAATGTTCGTAATAACTTGTGCATTTATACAATTGAATATTATATTGTCATTAAGAAGGGTGTTGTAGAAGTATATTTTTTGACCGTAAGATATTCTTGGTACATTGTTAGGTTAAAAAACAAGCTACAATACAGTTTTATATGATATGATACAGTACAATCACAGGATACAAAATGGTATCCTGTGATTCCATTTTGGTTAAGGCAATATTAATGTTTTCTTTATATTTGCATATATTTTCTAATTTTTAATAATGAACCTTATCACTTGCATAATTAAATATTTCTTAGAAGAGATAGAACTTGGGCTTCACGGAAGACATAGAACTTGAACTGGGCTTAATGAGAAATAATATTTAGAAAGATGAGACAGAAACTTACCTGAGTAGCTCATCTGTTAATTTCAGATATAACCAATTTCGCTTGTATATTAACCTGTTTAAAATGACTATTTGTTTGGTAAATTTTACCTTCCGTAATAGAAAACTGCTGCCTCATTTAAGTCTGAGCAATTGCAAAACACTGCTCTAACAAATAATAATCATTGGCTGTTTGAGAGGAGACAAATAAATAAATTGAGTTAAAAAAATTTAAGGTGGTGCTCAGAAGATAATGCTTGGCTTGATTTTGATACCATTGTCATTGGATGTCCTGTAAGTGAGCATTTTTGCTTGAGATGCTTACCTGTTAATTTTCCAGAGTTCTGGCTCAGTCTTCAAAGCAAGTCAGTTAACTTCTCATTCATTTGTTTGTGATCTTATTCTCCTAAAAAAATGTACTATCCATGTACATATGTGATGACTCTGAGATACCTAGAATATGAGGATATTCAAAAGTCTACAGAAAGATTCATATCATCATTTTTTTTTCTTTTTTTGACCGGTAAGGGGATCGCAACCCTTGGCTTGGTGTTGCCCACACCACGCTCAGCCAGTGATCTTTTTTTGACCGGTAAGGGGATCGCAACCCTTGGCTTGGTGTTGCCCACACCACACTCAGCCAGTGAGCGCACGGGCCATTCCCATATAGGATCCGAACCCGCGGCCTCGGCACTACCAGCGCCGCACTCTCCTGAGTGAGCCACGGGGCTGGCCCCATATCATCTTTTTATTCTATTTTTCCACAAACTTTTTGAAGTACCTTGTATGTGAGTAACCAGAAAACCCTGTTCCCTAATGGAACTGAATGAATGTCTTCCCTCTTCCTTCCTCCTCCTGGGATTTTCTTTCCATCTCTGCTTTGTTCTCATTTTCTTCTCCGCCTCTGCCCCGTCTGGGCTCCCTCTCTGACCTCGCCATCTCTCCCACCCTGCCCTTCTCTTTGCCTTGCTCCCTTTGTTTTGTTTTTGGTCTTCTCCCCTCATTTTCTTCTCCTCTGTCCCTTCTCTCTCCTTCTTCTCTCACGCTGTCATGTGTCCCCTCCCCTTCTGGCTTCCTCTTCCTTCGCTGGCCCTCTGTTTTCTCTTTCCTGTGTCCTCTTCTTACCCATACGTGTGGCAGGTCTACGACACACAACTGGAGAATGTGGAGGCTTTTGAGGGCCTGTCTGACTTTTGTAACACCTTCAAGCTCTATCGGGGCAAGACTCAGGAAGAGATGGAAGATCCATCTGTCATTGGGGAATTTAAGGTAAGTGCTTGAACACATGTCCCTAACCCAGGTGGTCCTAAGACTGTGGTGCTGGAGGTGGTGCTGGTGACAGTGATGGAGATGCTGTTGATGGGATGGCATTGGGTGTGGTTATCTCTGTGGTGATAATGCTGGCAGAGATGAGAATGGTGATCATAATGGCAATTGTGTTGGTGACAATAAAGATAAAAAGGAAAATTAACCCCACATTCTTTTCAGGGCCTCTTCAAAATTTATCCCCTCCCAGAAGACCCAGACATACCCATGCCCCCAAGACAGTTCCACCAGCTGGCTGCCCAGGGGCCCCAGGAGTGCTTGGTCCGTATCTACATTGTCCGAGCATTTGGCCTGCAGCCCAAGGATCCCAATGGGAAGGTAACTTCCTAGAGCCCTCACCACTAACACCCTCCTCCAGAATAGCAGGCTCAGGTCCAAAAGGCCTGCAAAATCTGGACATGATCTCTGCCTGGGAGTTCATAGTAAGCTGGGGAAACCAGACAAACATATGCAAAACTGAGATGTGACTCAGTGGAGTTCTATCAAGGACCAAGAAGAGAGGTCTGGGAGGTCAGAGAAGGCCAAAGTTAGTTCAGGACTTTGGAAAAATTGGAAACCTTTGGGAAGGCTTCCTGCAAGGAATAGGACTGTTAGGGATAGATGGAGTTTTGATAGGCTAGGAGGCAGAAGAAAATAGTGTTTAAGAGGGATCAAAAGCACAGGCAAAGGTCTGAAAGAAGGTTGCTTAATGCATGTCTAGAACAAGGATAGGCATAAAGATGAGTAAGGGTGGAGGTGTGATTGGGACTGGACTTTGGAGGGCTTTCAGTGGTGAGGGAAGGAGTGAAGGAGGGAACAAGATTCGGAACTGTGCTATGTCTGGCCATGGTGGAGCAGGAGGCAAAAGGAAAAACCAGTAGTACTCAGCCTGTTTTTACTTAAAATTTTGATATTTTGTTCATGATGAACTATTGACATTGATTTTAATTTTTAAAATATTGCATTAAAATATTGTTTATATCGATTACTGAGTTTTATAGCCCTCCTTTAAATTTTGTGCCCAAGTCAAGTGGCTCAGCTGTCTCACCCTAGTCCTGGTTGGAGATGGAAAGGGGAGATTTGAAGAAGGGGAGGAGTCTGGAGTTATGGGGAGATGGCAGGGGTGGGGGACAGAGTGAAGTGGGAAAGAAAGAGGAAAGAAGAGAGGCAAGGGTAGGGGACAATTGGAGTTTAGAGGTACAAGGCCAGGTGCCTCCTTAGTTGGGTTTAGTTCTAGCATGTATCCTTGAGGTAGTGGGTAGAAGCCCACCTGGTGTTCCACTGCTGTAGCCCCTCTTTTCAAGGCTGAGAAGTCATGAGATCACAGGGAAGAAGGAAGCAGTCCTCAGCCTTGGCACCATCAATGGCCTCTAATACATGGTTGTGGCCAGTGGGTTGGCTTCTACACTTCAAGCCTCTGGATGCCCAACCAGTGCTGGGCACTCTCCAGCACCAGCTGCTCTGGAGCTGGCTGAGGGGGTGCTCCTGCCCTCTAATACATGGTTGTGGCCAGTGGGTTGGCTTCTACACTTCAAGCCTCTGGATGCCTAACCAGTGCTGGGCACTCTCCAGCACCAGCTGCTCTGGAGCTGGCTGAGGGGGTGCTCCTGCTTGCAGGAAGCAGTCAGGGGAGACCAGCCTGGGATAGCTGAGGTTGCAAAGTCTTCCCATCTCTCCTCCTTAACATCTGCTTTGGCAGAGATCACAGAGAGGACCCCATGCTGGCCTGGTCACATATGTAATACACACTGTTGTGTTTCTGAGGATACAGAGGCCTGTCCTCCACGGCCTCTACCCATGGGCAGTGGGTTGGGAGTATGGAGAACTCAGGCACCCCTTTCCTACTGCTGAAGCCGAGGTGAGAAGCCCATGTCAGGGAACATGTGGTGTGTGGTGTGTAGGACAGAGTCCCTGGCCTGTCAGGACATAGTCTACATCGCAGCTTCCTGATGGCTGACCACCTCACCCCATCAGGAGGCAGGGGACTCAAGAATCCCCAAAAACACGTTGGGAGAGTGATTTCACTTAAGTGTTTCCATCTCCTCCTCCAGTGTGATCCTTACATCAAGATCTCCATAGGGAAGAAATCAGTGAGTGACCAGGATAGCTACAGGCCCTGCACCCTGGAGCCTGTATTTGGAAAGTAAGTTGGGGATATCTTGGGTCTTGGGCTGGAGGAGCCAGTCTGGATAATCCACAGTCCAGTGGGGGAGATGTGGCCATCACTGGGAAGTTGTTATCTCCTGTAGCAAAACCATATTCCCTAAATCTCGTATGGCTGTGGGCGCATAGCCTCAGCTAGCTCTTCTATATGTGCTAAAGGCTTGAGTCCTAGCAGAAGCACCCAGTGAAAGACACAAGCAATTACCTCTCAGATCAGAAATCTACATGGTGGCTCAGAAGATGCATTTGCTCATTCTCCTTTTTTTAGATGAACTTTTACTTTGGAATAATTTTAGATATACAGAAAAGTTACAAAGATAGTACAGAGTTCCCGTACACCCTTCACCTAATTCCCTCCACTATTAACATCTTACCTAACCATAGTACATTTGTCAAAATGAAGAAACTGACATTGGTGCATTACTATTAACCAAACTCTAGACTTTATTAGGATTTTGCCATTTCCCATTTATGTCTTTTTACTGTCCCAGGATCCAATTCCATATACCTCACTGTATTTAGTAATTTTTCTCTTAGTGTTCCATGTGCTTCTGTTGTGGATAGCTGGAGAACGAGTGTAGACCCAGGATAGTCAAATGATTCCTGAAATCTAAGAACAAGGAAAGGAAGAATCCAGTGCATGGGAGTGGCCCAAGGCATCCTGAATTGCTGTTTGGGTGTGAGACTGTTTAGGCCTGAGAAGAGAGGATCGCAGAGGGAGGTTGGCGGCTGTTTCTCTAGCACTTGTAGAAGACACCGGTGTTCCAATATGGTCAAGTAACACCTTGAATTCATAAGCTGCTATCTGTGGAGTTAGTTGTGGTCACTCAGCCTGCAGCAAGGATCCAATCAACCTGGGCAAATGCAGTTTTTAAAGGGGAAACAGTCCTGGACAGTGATGAGCCACCACAAAGTTAGGGTTGGAGGGAAGATGGTGTGTGGGAGAGAGGAGCTGTGTTTGGTGAGTGATAGGGGTGGCATGGGCCACAGGCTAGTGGTGATGGGCAGTGCACAGGGCCTGTTCTACAGTGGGGTGTGTGGGTGTCAGGGCCCAGGGCAGGTGGGGGAGCCAGCGCAGAAGCATACCCCTCCCACTCCTGCCTGCCCATCTCCCCCAGATCATGGCCAGGCTGGTCTGCCTGGTGCTTTGAGCTTCCGTCAGATCACACCAGAAACTCTTTTCCTGTATAACCCTTGTGTGTTACTCCCCCACCCCCTCTAGCTAGCCACTGAGATTTCTGACTCCTGCAGGGCCAGGACCAGGGAGCTCCAGTTATGGGGAAGACCCCTGGACCCCATCTCATGTGCTGCCCACCCCAGTCATCTGGGCACTCTGAGTGGCGCAGATGTTTAAAGCCCATTGATTTTCTTGTGGGTGCTTTCCAGATCACCCCTCTTTTGAGCTCCTCCCAGTGCACCTCCTGGGATGTGGTAGATGCTGTGTCTTTAGGGGGCTTCCCCTCACCCCCTGGTTCTCAGATGGTCCACTCCACAGTCTCTTGTGTCTCTTGCCCAGCCACGGAGGGGAAGCAGCTCCTCCCAAATGTGGCCCCTGCCCACCTCCTCTCTGCACAAGCTGCTTCAGTTTCCATGGCATGAGTTGGGTGTCGGGCTTGTCCCCCACCTGCAGGGAACTCATTTCAAGCAGAGAAGGGAAAATACCTCCACTTTTGGCCCCCATGGGGGTCTCAGACACAGCAGGAGCTCTCTCCAAAGAAATCTCACAAATTCTCCCTCCATCCCACTGCAGAAGTAGGTGTGAGGCCCCAAGAATCTAGAGAACGGGTCCTAGGCCATCCCCTGGGTAAATTCTAAAGCTCTGGCACCTGGCTCTGAAGTTTCACATCTCTTGTTTCCTGGCCTTGTGGTGGAAACTTGAGTTTTGATGTTCTATTCCAATCCATTCTTTCATTCTTTGGTCCATCAGGCAGGCACCTGCTGTGTGCCCAGCCCATTTTACTTGGGAAGATCACACATACACACACACCTCTATCTCACTCTCTCAGACAAGCCTAATACAGTGCTGCTGTAGGGGGTATACTTTAAGAGCTGCAGGGGGCCTGAGGACAGGGGATTCCCTGGGTGATGTTTGAGCTCCTGCCCTTGCCCTGCAACTCCCTTGAGTTCCCACTGTGTCAGTCAACATCAGGAGACTGGCAGTGTTCTGACGTCCACCCCTCCTGCAGGATGTTTGAGCTGACCTGCACTCTACCTCTGGAGAAGGACCTGAAGATCACTCTCTATGACTATGACCTCCTCTCCAAGGATGAAAAGATTGGGGAGACAGTCATCGACCTGGAGAATAGGCTGCTGTCCAAGTTTGGGGCTCGCTGTGGACTCCCCCAGACCTACTGTGTGTATGTACATGGGGGCTGGCTGCTGAGCACTTACTGTGTGTTGGCCCTGGGCTCAGCACTTCCCAGGCATTCTCTCATTGAATCCGTTTGCGGTCTTGTTCCCACTCCACAGATGGGGAAGCTGAGGCTCAGAGATATTATGGCTTCTCAGTGGTGAGATCAGGATTTGAACCCATTTGTCTGACTCTATGAACCTGGCTCTTCACCATAATTGTTATCATTCCAGTTCTCTTTAATACACCACTGAGGCCTGTAGAGGGCTGGGTATGCAAAGAGAGAGGGAGGGAAGGAGAGAAAGAAGGAAGGAAGACAGACAGACAGCGGGACACATGCCTCAGCTGGGCCTTGGGAGGACTTACGTGATGGTCTGTATTGGGGAAACTTCCGTGTGGACGGCACTGCTCTTCCTATCAGCTTGGGTCTTGCTTGGGTTTGATTCTCTAATTCTGGAAATTGGAAACATCTAAGTTCCAATTTCATGGTACTTAAGTCATTTTATCTCTGGGCCTCAGTTTTCTTCATCTGTAAAATGGGGATGCCCAGTCATGATCAGTGTTTAGATGGCATGCCCACTGTAGATGTGAAGGGTGGGTGAGGCCGTCCATAGGGGTACACAGGTCACTGCACACCCCTCTGGTCTCGTCATTGTACTCAGAATGTCTCATCATCGTCTTGTGCTTGGGCCTCAGCTCTGGACCAAACCAGTGGAGGGACCAGCTCCGCCCCTCCCAGCTCCTCCACCTCTTTTGCCAGCAGCACAGAGTCAAGGCCCCTGTGTACCACCCTGACCGCGTGGTGTTTCAGGATAAAGAATACACTATTGAAGAGATAGGTGAGCTGCCATGTGACCCCAAGCCATGCTGTGCTCTCCCTCTATGTCCTTCTCTCTCATCAGACCATCCTCTATCATAAAGGGCCCAAGTAGACATAACCCACATCTTCAGGGGGTGGGCTTGCATTTCTTCAGGGCAGCATAGATGGGCTAAACTTGCACTTGGTACTTTTTGGACCAGTACTTACCTGTAATACCATTGTGAAAATTAGAGGTTAGGGTCAGGGTTAGGATCAGTCTCCTTCTGGCTTTGAGCAGTCAGATTTTGGTCAGAGTTTGGGGTGCAGTTGACCTGTGAGAAATAGAGTCGCACTAGCTGCTGGCTTGACCTTGATGGTAGCTTCTGAGCCACCCACTCCCAGCCTGTGCAGCCAAAGCATCCAAAGGGCAGCAGGAGGTCCTGCAGCGTCCCCACTCCGCCCCTGGTTCTACTCATGGCTGAGAACCTTACCATGTGTGCTCCGTGTGTGTGTGTGAGAGATGCCCGAGGCCTGCATCACCCACCCAGAGCAGCTCAGGCTCCCCGGAGGTGTTTACAGGCCCAGCTGGCCCCTCACCTCCTGGTTGTTTGGAGATGTTTGATGTCAGAGCTGGTGCTGAGGTTATAAAAGGGAAATGACGGCTTTGATGCCTCCATCCCCCAACCCCCTCTTTCTTGGTCTGTTTTCCTGACTCTCCCAGGTCATGGCAGAGCCAGGCTCAGCCATTAGCCCATTAGCCACTCTCCCTGCTACCCCCACCCTCTTTTCCTATAGAATGTGCATCTGTTTTTGGGGTAGTCTCATTTCCTTCTACTAGTATGTGAGCAACTTAAGCACAGGGGCTGGGGCTCATGGTCATAAAGTCGTAGGAAACGAAAGCCAGAAAGCTAGAGATGGTGAGGTCCAACATCTGCCTGTTTTTACAGATGAGGCCGTTGAGGCCAAGAGTGGTTAACGACCTGCCCAAAATCACCCAGACAGCTAGGAGTAGACCCACATTCCTGGTCCTGTGTTCCTTCTGCAGTGCCATGCCTCTTCCTTTGGGGTCCTATTAAGGTGATCAGGGCAGGTTTGATGGGTGAAAGTGTCTGTGTGTATACATGAGAATCTGTGTTGGTGTACACAGGCATACCTGAGTGCATGTATCTGTGTGTTTGTGTGTGTGTGTGTGTGTGTGTGTGTGTGTAGACAAATGTGGACCACCATCACCCCCTCCCTCCCGGTCAAGGCCTCTGACACAGGAGGCTTCAACTTCACGTTGCTGACCATTGGTGGGGTTTCTCAGGGTCAGAATTACCGCATGCCTTTTCCCCTCCCACGGCACCAATCCTTGACCCATCCCCTGGCAGGGAGGAGCTGTACCTGGGAAGCATGAAGGGGAGGAAGAGGGTGTCTAGTCACGCACATTTCCTAAATGAGCATGTGATCTCAGCTGCCCAGCTGTGTGGCTTTTCTGTGTCTTAGTTTTCTCATCTGTAAAATGGGGATAATAATAGCACTTAGCTTCTCGGGTCCTTATGAGGGTTAAATGTATAAGTATCTATGAAGAATAGTTCCTGGCACATGGTTTCTGCTCTAGATGTGTTTGCCATTATTGCTATTATTTTAGCTACTGCCACTAATAGAATCATTTACAAGAACCAGAGAATAGTACCAACTGCATTAAGCTGCCAGATCTGGGGGTAGAGGTGCTGAGGCTCAGAGTTGGGAGCAGTCAGAGAGGGCTTCCTGAAAAGGGTAGGCTTTGGTAGACTGAAAGGATTTATAGTGGTGGAAAAGAGAAAGAAGAGCTTTACAGAAGAGGCTTGGTAGAAATGATGGCAATGGGGAATCTGGATTTTAAGCCTGGAGCTGTGGACCATGGGGTTCCTCCCACAGGATGTGAGAGGTGAGGACCAGAACCAGTGTGTCTGGGCTGAGGCTGTGGGGGTTAGGGTTAGGGGCTTCCTGTGGCCCTCAGCCAGCCTGCTCAGCCTGCCTACAGGGCAGCCCCTCCATCTCTTGCTTACTCAACTGCTGCAACTGTTTTGTCTTCTCTCTGGGCCAGAGGCCGGCAGGCTTCCGAACCCACACCTGGGCCCTGTGGAGGAGCGTCTGGCTTTGCATGTCCTCCAGCAGCAGGGCCTGGTCCCAGAGCATGTGGAGTCACGGCCCCTCTACAGCCCCTTGCAGCCAGACATTGAGCAGGTAGGACCTTGACCCTTGGGCCCCAGAGTCCTTGAACCCAAAATATCCTCACCTCAAGTGTGGACATCCCAGGGGAACCAGTGGGGACCTTGGGACCTTGGCCAATCCCTTCTTGACCCATTTTGTCTACAGTCAGAGAGTAGGGGGTCTCTAGGGCCTGGGCTCTTTGGTTACCTCCAGCCCTCAGGGTCTGGGGAGCCTCCTTCACCCCTGTGTAGGCCTGGCTTCCCACTTCCCGCAGTCATTCGGAAGCCGCACTGTGTCAGCCACCACCAGTTTCCAGGGACTCAGCCTCAGAGGGCTGGCCCTGTGCTTGGTTACCGTGGGGTGTTCAGACAAGATGACGAGCGGCAGAGCAACCCATAGAGGACAGTCATCTGGAGGGGGCAGGGGATCCCCCATGCAGAAGGGAGGACGGGCACAGAGACAGCAGGCTTGGGACTGTTGTAGCTCTGGGACCCTGCAGAAGAGACTTAAGTTACTTCGATCCCTGCTCCTTCTTCTTTAAGATGGGGACAAAAATCACATCCAGCTTGCAGGGAGGGAGGGGGCTAAGAGTGGGCCGGTAGAGTGGTTTCCTGTCACAGAAATTTTCTGAGCTCCCATGCTAAACCACGCCCCTGACCCTCCATGACTTTGCATGTGCCATTACCCTGGTGTGCCGAGACTCAGCTCAATCATCACCATCTCAGAGAAGCCTGCCCTGACCCTTGAGACCCAGGCCCAGGCCTAGGTCAGTGGCCTGTGGGGCAGTGGGCTCACCTGTGCAGTCGGCCCTGCAGTTCCTTGTTTAGGGTCCCTCCCCTGCAGGTTGGTGAGCCTGTCCTTGGCAGGGCCTGGGTTTTCTCTGTCCTGTTTCCCAAGTGTTTGGCACAGAGCAGGTGCTTGGTAACTGCTGGCTGAATGGAAAAGGTGCTGAGAGAAGGGCTCGTGTCTCCACAGGGGAAGCTGCAGATGTGGATCGACCTGTTTCCTAAGGCCCTGGGGCGGCCTGGACCTCCCTTCGACATCACTCCCCGGAGAGCCAAAAGGTCACCTACCCAGGCACAGGCTCTGGGCTGAGCTTTGGGCAGGAGGGACGTAGCTAGCTATGGGTAGGACCAGGAGGTCACTCTTCAGCCAGGATTTGGGCTGCTCAGGCCACTGAATAAGCTCTTGTTTGGGCCTGGCCGAGTTTCCAGCCAGGCATGGAGTCTTCTTGGATGAGGTGACATCTCAGCCAAGGACCTCCCACCCTGCGGTAGGAAATCTATATGGATTTGAGTCATTCTTCTTCCCAGGTTTTTCCTGCGTTGTATTATCTGGAACACCAAAGATGTGATCCTGGATGACCTCAGCATCACGGGGGAGAAGATGAGCGACATTTATGTGAAAGGGTAGGAAGTCATCGTCTCCCACCCGTCCCAGCTCACAGCACCTCCCCTGCTCCCTCAGGGTGGCACTGGGGTGGGGGCTCCAGTGTAGGGAAGGGGAGAACATGCAAGCTTCAAAAGGTTGGACTTGTGAGGTTTGAGGATGCCCCTCACGGGTGGCTGAGACGTTAGAACATTTTCAAATTTATGGCACATTCTGTTCCTCATGATCCCCAGGGGACTGTTTGTGCAGTATCACCTACCAGGTTCACTTGCCTTCTTAATCCTCATCGGCCTAAGCTGAGGATGTACATTGGGGTGGAAATATTCATGAGAAATGTTCTGTAAAAATGTGTCTGCCTAGTTGGATGGTCGGCTTCGAAGAGCACAAGCAGAAGACAGACGTGCATTACCGCTCCCTGGGCGGCGAAGGCAACTTCAATTGGAGGTTTATCTTCCCCTTCGACTACCTGCCGGCTGAGCAAGTCTGCACCATCGCCAAGAAGGTAAGTGTCCTTCCTGGCCCAGTGGTGCCAGTCCAGGGCTTTTTAATGTCAGCATGACCCCACCACCACAGTCACTGGCAGGCTACCATCTGGGCCTCCCTGCCACTGTTGGAGCCACCACTGCCATCTCTTCTTGGCCACCATCACCACCGATGTCACCACTACCACTGTCCTATCACATCTGGTGTCACCATCACCACCATCCCATCACAGCCAATGTCACTACTGCACTGTCCCATCACTGCCAAAGTCACCATCGCCACTGTCCCATCACCACCACTGTCCTATCACATCTGGTGTCACCATCACCACCATCCCATCACTGCCAATGTCACTACTGCACTGTCCCATCACTGCCAAAGTCACCATCGCCACTGTCCCATCACTGTTGATGTTACCACCACACTGTCCCATTACTGCCGAAGTCACCACCACCATCCCATCATTGCTGATGTCACCACCACTGTCCCATCATTGCCAGTGTCACCACTACATTGTTCCACCACTACTAAAATTACTATCACTATCGTCCCATCACTGCCATTGTCACCACATTGTCCTATCATTGGTGGCACTAGCACAGCTCCCACCATTGCTCACATTACCACCCTAGCCACCACCATCTCTGCAGCCCTTTCTTCCTCTTCCACCATTGCTGCCACCACTGCCAGTGTCACCACTACATTGTTCCACCACTACTAAAATTACTATCACTATCGTCCCATCACTGCCATTGTCACCACATTGTCCCATCATTGGTGGCACTAGCACAGCTCCCACCATTGCTCCCATTACCACCCTAGCCACCACCATCTCTGCAGCCCTTTCTTCCTCTTCCACCATTGCTGCCATCTCCAGCATTGCCATCACTCCACAACCACACTAGTGCCACAACCATCGTGTGTAGCTACGTCCAAATCCTAAAACCACTGCCTTCCTCCTTAGCCCAGACAAACCAAGCAGCAGGAAGCCCATGGGGTCTGAGAAGGAAGAGAAGGGACACCCAGCTTGGCCATCAGTGGGGCAGAGGGGCCAACTCCATAGGGGGAGCTTCCCACGAGGGCGAGCCTGGCCTACAGATAGCGTTGTCCATAGGATTGGGAGTTGCGTGGCTAAGTCCCTCCTGCCACCTCATTTCCCACATCTGTGTCTAGTGCCTGTAGTTGGGGTCCAAGCTCAGTGGTCACTGGGAGTGTCTCTGCCCTTCCAGGCCTGAGCAAGTGTCCTCCGCTCTCTCCATGCCCCACCTCTCACCCCAGGCTGAAGGCACCTGGGGAGACCTGGCCAGCATCAGCCCGTGGGGAGAGGTGGATTTGGGGACCTCAGTCTCTGTGTCTTAGCATCTCCTGGTTTCAGTCTCATCTGGGCCATAAACCCTTTACCCCCGAAATAGGCAGAGCTGGAGGGCAGCTGGCCTCCTCCTGGTGGCACCAGGCCTGCCCGCAGGGAACAGCCACTGGAACACAGTGAGGGGAGCTGCGGGCAGTGGGGGCTCAGGGCCAGGCTGAGTGGAGGCAGAGGGGCCTCTGCTGGAGCCTGTGCCCACCCTTGTTCCACCCAGCGTTCATTTCCACCTCGAAGTGCTCTCCTGCTCCAGGGGTAGATGCCTCTCTGGTGTTCAGGTCCTGTTGGTGATTTCCTTCCAGAGGTGGCTCAAGGTTTCAAGCCTTGAAGCTTCTATGACTCCTCTTTATTTCCTGCTTAGCTTAAAGAAGGAAAACACATAATGTACTTCTGCTGCACGGTTCTTCTCAACTCTCTTCGTTGCACCCTCTCTGCCTGGTCCTTTCCAGCCCAACACACAGGATCATCTTCACTTTAGAGAAACCAAAGTGTTCTGCTGAGCATCTGAAACCAGCAAACAAAAGAAAATGTAGATTAAACAAGGTCCCATGGATTCTTTCACCTGGGGATTGCTGCGTAGTGTTTGCTGGAAGGCGGAATTTAGCAACAGGGCTGCACAGAGTCAAGGAAAGCCTAGACTCTTTGTAGGCTTAGACTTATTTGCCTTCTTCTCAGTGTGCTTGTCCAGCACAGGCCTGTTTCCATTACAAAGCAAACACCACATCTGTCGGGACAGCCCTCGGTCAGGCCGGCGTGCCTGCCTCCCTTTGCTGTGGGCAGAGGGGGAGGGGGCTGGTAGTGGAGAAGGGAGGGCCTGTTTCCATTACAAAGCAAACACCACATCTGTCGGGACAGCCCTCGGTCAGGCTGGCGTGCCTGCCTCCCTTTGCTGTGGGCAGAGGGGGAGGGGGCTGGTAGTGGAGAAGGGAGGGCTGAGCACCACGCCCACCATCTCTGGGCCCACCTACGCGGGGCCAGGCATGGATGGGGAACTGAGGCCCAGAGACGCGGACTGGCTGCTCAGGAGGCGGGACAGCCCCTGCATTGTGACAGGTGGAGATGTGGGCAAGGAGCAGCAGGAAGAGAGGTTTCTGTTCCTTTCTGTGAAGCAAGAGGAGAGATGATCTGTCACTGTGGCAGGTGATTTGAGATACATGAGAAAGGCTGGAAATGGCTGTTCTGCTGAGTGAGAGAGAGAGAGTGCTCGTTGGTGGCACAGAGAAAGGTTACCTGGCAGTTCTGAGGACCCAGTTGGGATTGCTGATTAAGAATTTGGGGTGGCTCCATTCTGGCAATGCTGGGGTTTCATCTCTGCATTGTAAGCCCTGGTAAGAAAGGAGAGTTGGGCTGACTCATGGCAGGAGTTCCAGAGGACATACTGAAGGGACCGCTTGGCCTGATGGCCAATAGGGTCTGGGCTAGACTTGGGAGAACGAGAGGCCCACAGTGGGAGCAGGGAGAGAGGAAGAAGTCGAAGGAGAGGCACACCTAATGCCAGGCCCTGGGAGGGGCCCAAAGGTCAGAAGAGGAGGTTGAGGAACAGAGTTCAGGTGGTTCTGAAGTCAACTCAGAAGGTGAGAGAGGAAATGGCTTGGCCCGAGGCAGAGCCAGTGGGTCCCTCTGTGGGAGAGGGGACCCTGGGAGGCTGGCGGAGCCATGCCCACAGTGGGGGCACCAATTAGCTGTCTGGGCTAAGAACCGAGTCTGGGTGGGTTAGTGCAGGGCCACCGCACAGCCTCTGGGCTCCCTGGGCCTGCTGCAGAGCCAGCCCTCTGCTGTGGGGTTCAGGGCCTCTGGCAGGCAGGCCCTCCAGGGACCCCATTAACCAGACGAGACTGTCGTAAAGTACAAGGTCTCCTTTCATCCGGCTGCTTTGAACCGCCGCTGGTTGTCCCAGCCGGCTCCCCACCTGGAGCCCAGCACACCCACTGGGGCCGGCCTGCGCGTCAGGCACCCACCCTGCAAATAAACAGCTAGTAAAAGGGCCCAGGCCGGGAGCATAATGAGCGCCTGGGACCTGGGGGGGCTCACTCCCCAGGCTGGAGTGCTGGCCCAGCTGCTCCCACCAGGGGCCGTTTGAACCTCTGGCTCATTACCGAGCCCATAAACCAGGCCGGCCCAAGGAGTGGAGGATGCCGGCGGCCCGTGCAGGCGGGCCTGCTGAGCTGGCCGTAAAAGCTCACAGAGGAGGGAGGCACCTGCACGAGGGCTGGGGCCCGGAAAGGGGGAGGCACAGACAGGGCTGGGGACAAGGGGCCAGCTGTGGACCTGAGCCCCTTCACCAACCCAGGCAGCAGTCCAGGCCACGGCTGGGTGCTTTGCATGGTGACCACAGGGGTCATGGTCATCTATTTGGGAGATTGGTGGGATCTGCATGACCAGCCTCGGAGGCTGGGGTGGACACCCAGTGGCATGGCCCTGGCTGGGTAGTGTTTACCAGGCCGACAACCCTGTGTGGTCAGCAGTGCTCCCCGACTCCCCACGGAGTCTGCCCCCTGAGACTTGGGTCCAGGCTCCTGCTCTGACCTGGGACTCAGGACCTGGCCCTCACTGTCTACAGGGTGGCCAGAATGTTTCCTATCCTTGGCACCCTGTCAGGTAGAGCTACAGTGAGAGAACAGAGAACAAGCCAGTGTGAGCAGGACAGCCCCAGTGACAGTCCTTTGGGTTGAACATGGAGGACCCAGGGGCCAACCCAGGCCTCTGCATGCCCAGCCCCATGCCCCTTAGCTTCTCCCTGAGGCCCCTGTGGGGAGAAGCCCAAGATGACCCTGTTCCAGGTGGAGCTGGTCTGAGGGAGGTGAGCTGGGGAGAGACGGGTTCCTCCTCTCCTTTCAGCAGGAGGGCAGAGAACGTTCCAGCACTGTGAGTTTTTGCTTTGCCAGGGGTGAATTCTTAGAGGTGATGGTGGGGTGGGGTGGTGAGGGGGGGGTCCTGGTCCAGTGCCATTTTCTTATAGCAGTCTGCTGGGGGATCCTTCAGCAACAGCCAGGGTGGGTCACCTCAGCCAATTCACCCTGACCCTGGGATCACATGTGCAGAGCAGGGTCTAGGGTTGAGAGCAGGACTCTGGAACCTGACTACCTGGGCTTGCATCTCTGCTTGCCACTTCCTAGCTGTGTGACCTTGGACAAGTGACTTGCTTTGGTTTCCTCAGCTGTGAAGGTAGTATCTCTCACAGTTGTTGGAAGAATAGATGACTTCATAGTGGTAGAGAACTGACACATAGGAAGTGCAGTGTTAATATTATTACTATTAGCTGTCAGACCTTGGGCAAATTCCTTTACCTCCTCCAAGCCTCTGATTCATCATTTGTAAAATGGGAGCGATTACTTTGACTTACAGAACTGGCAGGATTAAAGGAGCCATCTTATGTGAAGTGAGGTGCATGGTACCTCTTAGGCCCTTGACCACTGCCTTCTGGGATCTGCCCTTCCTCATCTTCCCACCAGGACCTGGCTCTGGCAGCAGCCTCAGGGACTCTTACTCTGCTGCCTCGTCCAGGCAGCCTTCCAGGTTGGTAGCACCCCTGTCTTTCTCTAACCTTGCTTTCCTGCTTCCTTCTCTGCTCCTACTCTGGGTCAGGATGCCTTCTGGAAGCTGGACAAGACTGAGAGCAAAATCCCAGCGCGAGTGGTATTCCAGATCTGGGACAACGACAGGTTCTCCTTTGATGACTTTCTGGGTAAGCATCATTTCCAGTCAGTCCCGTTCTGCATGTTGGGGGCTGCCCAAGAACCCCCACTGTGTGTGTGTCTGTGCCATTCCTGGACCCTTTGGGAATCTTGGCTGGAGGAGTGGTCCTTCTTTCAGCCCTCAGGGAGCTCAGAGTCACTGTCACTAGGTCCCCAGCACTCAGTGAGGCATGTGACGCTGAGCAGCATCAGCATGACCAAGTGGAGGTGGCATTGAGCACTGGGCTGTGCTGGGTGGTAGGCTCAGGTCATGAAGAGGGGGAACGGGGAGTGACTGCTGTTGGGTATGAGATTTCTTTTGGGATGATGAAAATGTTCTGGAATTAGATGGTGGTGATGGTTGCACAACTCTGTGAATGTACTAAAAGCCACTGATTGGTACACTTTAAAATGGTTAAAGTGATGAATTTTATGTTATGTGAATTTTACCTCAGTAAAAAATAGTAAATGAACCTGTGAAAAAGGCAGCCTGAGAAGCCAGGAGTGCTGGCTTCTAGTTCTGTTCTGCCACTTGGGAGCAGAGTGGCCTTGGACAATCACTGAAGCCCTCCTTCGGTGGCCCTTGTTTGAAGAAAGGTGAGTTGGTCTTTGCTGAGGAGCAGCTCCCCGCAAGGGGGCCACACCTGGCCTGGTCACCTGCACACGGGGGACAGAGCTGCTCCACGATTCCACTGTAGAAGAGTCAGGGTGCAAGATGGAGGTGGCACCAGATGTGACTTTTGTTATTTTACTCATTATTCTGTACATAATTCCTGTAGAAAAATTAGAAAATACAAATAAGCAATGCTTCCTTCCCACTTTAATCTCACCACCCAGAGATAACTACCACTGACATGTTGGTATATATGACTATATTTTATATTATTTCAGATATAAACAAACCTATGTAAGTTGTGTGTGTATTATATATACATACATACATACATGACATATATACATATATTTATATACATGAATGGGTTCATATTATACATACTGTTTTATATCCTGATTTTTTGAGAAAATGTTTCAAGAACATCCTTTCTGGTCAGCAGGTATCTACCTGTATTTATGCCCGCACCATCACTTAATGCCTGCTGATGCGCCATCATACAGACGGGCCCTATTTGGCTTAACTAATCCTCTCTTGGTGGGTATTCAGGCCATCCTCAGGTTTCCTAATTTGAGTGACCCCCTAGGTGTACATCTTTGGACCCTCTGTGTAGACCTTTCCTTAACTCTGAGAAGTAGATTTGTTAGTTTTTGTGCATTTTAGTAGTTTTCAAAACAGTTTGTTTAATTGCTCTCTAGCAAGATTTTTATACTCTCACCTGTACCCTGTTTGTAGAAGGGTGCAATTTCCCCTAAACTTTTGCTACTACCATTACATTTTTTTAAAAAATCACCAATATGATATCTCATTTTAATTTTTATTGGCATTTCTTCATTACTTGTAAGGTAGAACTTTATTTCCCCTAAACTTTTGCTACTACCATTACATTTTTTTAAAAAATCGCCAATATGATATCTCATTTTAATTTTTATTGGCATTTCTTCATTACTTGTAAGGTAGAACTTAGCACACTATCCAGTGCGCCACCGGGCCGGCCGATTATTATTGATTTTTGAAACTTTTTATATATTCAGGATACATGGCAAATAATTTATCCTATTTTAAAAGCATATTTATTACCCATATTAATAATATGGGGTTTTCTTTTTCATCTTTTATTATTGATTTTTGAAACTTTTTATATATTCAGGATACATGGCAAATAATTTATCCTATTTTTTCATTTCCTTCTTAATTTTTTATGGAGTCTTTTTTGCTTACAGACTTAAAATATTTTTGCCATCAATCTATCAAACTTTCCTTTATGGAGTGAGGCTTTAAAAAATTAATTTTGCAAAGAAAACAAAAAAACCCCTGAATTTTGCTGTATGAGAAAAAAGTATCCAAAGTAAAGTTTAAAATGCTCATTCATTGTTTTTAATAATAAAACTCAATAAAACCATTAATAAATACTACCTTTTAACTCCACGAGATTTCTCTTTTCCACATTTATAATGTTTTCTAATTAGATTTTTTATGTTTTTTGAATTCTTATTACTTTTTTATTTTAAAGGTAATATTTAAGCATCCATAATCTCACCATCTAGAGATCCTGTGTTTCCTTACAGTCTTTTATGTAGATCATGCTGGGATAATTTGTGTGTGTGTGTGTGTTTTTTAATATCCTGATATTTACTAAATATCATATTGGGAGCATATTTAAAATTGGAAATAAACTAAATGCTCATTTGCATGAGTGGGAGGGAGAGATATGTGAGTGGGTGGAATGTTAGATTAACGCTGATACAGAGTTGAACAAATGGATAGATGGAATAACAGTCACCTGTTGAATGAACAGATATAGTGCTCAACAGATGACAGCTGTAAAGAGATGTAGATAAGTCAAAGCAGATGAATGGGTAAAAGGATGGATGGATAAGTGGACGAGTAAAAGAAAGAAAACTAGAAAATGGTTATGGTAACTGAGCATTCCATGCTGAAAAAAATCTGATCTCCTTTGCATGGTATTCAGGAATTTTTAAAATTTGGCCTCAGAAAACAATTTTTCAATTTATTTCTCTCACTTAATCCCTTCAGTAACATATGCTACAATCCCATTGAGTCCATCATGTTGCTGTGATGGGATTAGATGAAACCACATGAAATTGCTGTTTTTATAGGTCAAAGGTGTTTGAGTATCAGCATTTTCATCTGGTTCCACCTAATAGCTAGAGCTGTCCAGGGAGATGGTGAGTAAAATGGGTGAGTAGATGAGACATTATAAAAAGGCAGCTGCTTGGATAACTAGGTGGGTAGACGAAGAAGATTGATGGATGAACTACAACAAGATACCACTTCATGCCTATTAGGATGGCTAAAGTACTAATAATAATAACAGTAATGATAAAACAGAAAATAACAAGTGTTGGCGAGGATGTGGAGAAATTGGAAACCTTGTACATTGCTGGTGGGAAGGTAAAATGGTGCAGCCACTGTGGAAGTCAGTGTGGTGATCCCTTGAAAAGCTGAACGCAGAATTACCATATGACCCAGCAATGCCTGCTCTTAGGTATGTATCCAGATGAATTAAAAACAGGGACTCAGACACTCGTATGCCAATGTTCACTGCAGCATTATTCACAATGCCAAAAGGTGGACACTGCTCAAGTGTCCATCAACAGAAGAAAGAATAAACAAAATGTGGTGTAGACATACAGCGGAGTAGTATTCAACCGGAAAGAGGAATGAAATACTGACAGGTACTACAACGTGGATGAACTCTGAAAACATTATGCTGTGAGATAAGCCAGACACAAAAGGACATATACTTTATGATTCCACTTATAAGAAGTATCTCCAATAGGCAAATTCATAGAGACAGAAAGTAGACTAGAGATGACCAGGGGCTAAGAGGAGCGGGGAATGGGGACTTATTGTTTAATGGGTATGGAGTTTCTGTGACGGAATGAAAAAGTTTTAAAAGTAGTGGTAATGGCTGCCCAACATTGTGGTTGTAATTAATGCCACTGAATTGTGCACACAAAAAAATGGCTAACATGTCAAATTTTATGTCATTTATTTTTTTACCACAATAAAATAATGTTAAAAAATCGATGTATCGATGTACATAGACAATGGGTGTATGGATGCATCTGTACTTAGTAAGATGAATAATTGAGGAGGTAGGCAGCTTTGCTCAGGTGAATAAATACAGGTGGATTAATGGGCATATGGCTGCATGAGTAGGTGAATGGGCAACTGTGTAGATGGGATGAGAGGAATGGATGGAGAGATGGTGAGTTTGTGTGATTCTACCCATGGCTAAGCCATGCAAAGAAGCTGAGGAGGTGAGTTTTTCTTGAGCCTGCCCTGCCCCAGGGTAGCCCTAGGCTGGCAGTGATTGAGAAACCCTCTGCCAAACAACACCTCTCTGCTGTAGGCTCCCTGCAACTGGATCTCAACCGCATGCCCAAGCCAGTCAAGACGGCCGAGAAGTGCTCCTTGGACCAGCTGGATGACACTTTCCACCCAGAATGGTTTGTGTCACTTTTTGAGCAGAAAACAGTGAAGGGCTGGTGGCCCTGTGTAGCAGAAGAGGGTGAGAAGAAGATCCTGGCGGTAAGTCTCCTTCCTCCAGCCCCAGCGGAGGGCTCAGGGGCAGCTTTTTCTAGAAATCATCGGGCACATACGTGCCTACTGTTCTTCCCCTTTCTCCCTCTCTCCTGCCCTTCCTCTCCCTATTTCCAAGTCATTCTCCATCTTCCTTTCCAATTCCCAGCCTTCCTCCCCCTACAGGCTCCATAGGAAACCTATTCAAATTGAAAAATGACCTCCTTATACTCTGCTCATGGGCCTTAACAGAGATCTGTGACCTGGGGTCCCTCTGATCCGGGCTTCCTGGCAAATGGACGGGGTTGTGCCTCTTCCATTTCCTCAGTACCCTCCAAGGGGCTGTCCCTGTTCTACTCTTCTACTGAGAGGTCTGCTCATGGGGGTGACTGGAGTCCAGAACAGCCACGGAGAGGAAGTTAATCCCTCACTTAGGAACGGCCGGCAGCCAGCCAACCTTAAAGTGGCCCTTGAAATAAAATATCCTTGTTATATAAAGAATTACAACAATAAGAAATACCAACACCCCAAAGGAAAAATGAGAAAAGGCCATACATAGATAATTCACAAAAGAGTTAGAAATGTGAACTAAACATTAAAAGTGATTTATTCCTTCTAGTAATTAAATAAAAGAATAGTTTTAAATGTGCTAACTTTTTTTTGTCTATTAAATTATATTTTTAAAAGAAAAATGGACAAGTTCATTGCTGGTGAGAGTGCAGAGAGACAAGCGCCTCGCTTGCTTCCGCTGGGGGCGCTGATGGTTTTACTGTGTGGGGAAGCAATTTGGTGATATAGATGTCTATTAAATTATATTTTTAAAAGAAAAATGGACAAGTTCATTGCTGGTGAGAGTGCAGAGAGACAAGCGCCTTGCTTGCTTCCGCTGGGGGCGCTGATGGTTTTACTGTGTGGGGAAGCAATTTGGTGATATAGAGCCAAAGATTTAACAATATTTATGCCCTTGGACACTGTCATCCTACTTCTAAAGTCTCTCCTAAAGAAATAACCAGATAAAATTAAAAATCTAGGTTCTGGGATGTTTGTTGCAACATTATTTATAATATCAAAGAGTTGGAAACCACCTAAATGAACCAAAATAGGTAGTTTACTAAATAAATTATGGTCAACCATCTTGTAGAATGTTTTGCAGTCATTAAAACCCAAACTCTAAGAAATATGTAATTATATAGTGAAATATATCTCTAAGAAAAAAAAAAAAAAGCAAGCTATAGCACTATATATACACAGTGTGATATTTTATACACTTGCAGAGAACAGCTATGATGCACAGAAGTATTGACATTGCTTGTCTCCACATAGTGGAAGTATGGGTGGTGTTCTTTCTTTATACATTTCTGAGGTTTCTAAATGTTCTATAAGGAGCAGTACTGCTTTTATGATCAGAATGATCCTACTTTTTTTTTTTTTTTAAAGATAAAGGTGCCCTTATGTTTGTCCTGGCCTGGCTCCTCTCCAGGAGGCTTTGTGCTCCAACCACCCTCTGTCCCCACAGGGCAAGCTGGAAATGACCTTGGAGATTGTAGCAGAGAGTGAGCATGAGGAACGGCCTGCTGGTCAGGGCCGGGATGAGCCCAACATGAACCCCAAGCTCGAGGACCCGAGGTTAGTGTCCAGTCCCTGACCTTGATGCCCAGATGTCTGGGGGTGTAGGCCTCAGTCCAGGAGGCACCTGACTTCATAGCCATGCGGAGGTCACAGGCCCACATGGCTCACAGACGGGCATGAGTCGTCCAACACTAAGTTAGAGGCAAGCAATAGCCATCAATTCCAGAGAACACTGGGCTGCTCAGCTAATTCCAGAAGCAGGTGCTGTTGGGTACCTGCTTGTTGTACACATTGTCCTATGGAGCCTTCCCCACTGAGTAGTGATTATCATCCCCATTTTACAGATGAGGAAACAATCTCAGCAAAGTTAAATAAGGTCATTCCAACTAAGAAAGTGGTAAAGCTGAAATTCTCTCNAGTGATTTATTCCTTCTAGTAATTAAATAAAAGAATAGTTTTAAATGTGCTAACTTTTTTTTTGTCTATTAAATTATATTTTTAAAAGAAAAATGGACAAGTTCATTGCTGGTGAGAGTGCAGAGAGACAAGCGCCTTGCTTGCTTCCGCTGGGGGCGCTGATGGTTTTACTGTGTGGGGAAGCAATTTGGTGATATAGAGCCAAAGATTTAACAATATTTATGCCCTTGGACACTGTCATCCTACTTCTAAAGTCTCTCCTAAAGAAATAACCAGATAAAATTAAAAATCTAGGTTCTGGGATGTTTGTTGCAACATTATTTATAATATCAAAGAGTTGGAAACCACCTAAATGAACCAAAATAGGTAGTTTACTAAATAAATTATGGTCAACCATCTTGTAGAACGTTTTGCAGTCATTAAAAACCAAACTCTAAGAAATATGTAATTATATAGTGAAATATATCTCTAAGCAAAAAAAAAAAAAAAGCAAGCTATAGCACTATATATACACAGTGTGATATTTTATACACTTGCAGAGAACAGCTATGGTGCACAGAAGTATTGACATTGCTTGTCTCCACATAGTGGAAGTATGGGTGGTGTTCTTTCTTTATACATTTCTGAGGTTTCTAAATGTTCTATAAGGAGCAGTACTGCTTTTATGATCAGAATGATCCTACTTTTTTTTTTTTTTTTTAAAGATAAAGGTGCCCTTATGTTTGTCCTGGCCTGGCTCCTCTCCAGGAGGCTTTGTGCTCCAACCACCCTCTGTCCCCACAGGGCAAGCTGGAAATGACCTTGGAGATTGTAGCAGAGAGTGAGCATGAGGAACGGCCTGCTGGTCAGGGCCGGGATGAGCCCAACATGAACCCCAAGCTCGAGGACCCGAGGTTAGTGTCCAGTCCCTGACCTTGATGCCCAGATGTCTGGGGGTGTAGGCCTCAGTCCAGGAGGCACCTGACTTCATAGCCATGCGGAGGTCACAGGCCCACATGGCTCACAGACGGGCATGAGTCGTCCAACACTAAGTTAGAGGCAAGCAATAGCCATCAATTCCAGAGAACACTGGGCTGCTCAGCTAATTCCAGAAGCAGGTGCTGTTGGGTACCTGCTTGTTGTACACATTGTCCTATGGAGCCTTCCCCACTGAGTAGTGATTATCATCCCCATTTTACAGATGAGGAAACAATCTCAGCAAAGTTAAATAAGGTCATTCCAACTAAGAAAGTGGTAAAGCTGAAATTCTCTCATCTGGTCTGATTGGCTCCAGTGCCTGGTCTTTCCCCTCGCCAAGCTGCCCTTCATGGCTCTCCTGTGGTGTCAGTGTGGCTTTCAAATGGTCTTTCAGCCTTAACTTTCCCTTCTGTGAAATGGGGAGACCAGGCCCCGTCTTTCCTACATCACAGACTTCTCAGGGAGGTTGACCAAGACAGTGGATGCAGGTGTCTGAAGGCCGTTACCAGGGCAGTTACTGAAGGATGGCTTTTGGGGCTCAGGGCAGTGTTTGCTGAGCCCCTCCCACGGCCCGCTTGGCTCAGATGGACGTAGCACAGTTGACTCACTTTAGCATGGTGCTATCCCCAGTGCCGTGGGACTGGCCCAGCAGTGAGAGGCACCCTTGCCTCAGAATGTTGGGAGGTGGGTGGCGAGACAAGAGAAACCCACGGGACTCAGGACGTGCAGTCAGAGGTTAACAGAGCCGTGACTGAGACACAAAATCCTGCATGTTCTTTGGGTTGTGGGGCTGATCTAGGGGGAGGGCTGTGAGTGAGAGAACTTCAGCTTTCTGGGTTCTCTTTCCACCATCCTTCCCCGAACATGGACAGTTCAGGTGCACCCGGACAGGTAGCTTGGCTTACCTGGGGCTCAGTGGGCCACAGCTCACCTAACATAGCAGGCTCTGCCCAGCTCCCAAGTCTGTAGTGTGGGATCAAGTCCTGGGTTGGGAGGGAAGGGGGTGGCTGGGAAGGTATCCTGACAAGAGTGGCTGAGAACCGGGCCCCTGGAGTTGCTGGGCATGGAAGCACAGGTGAGCTCACACTGCAGCAAAGGCTGGAGGGGGGAGGGAACGCTGGTGCCAAGGGCTGAGTTTGGGGCTAGGGGCTGGGGGCCTTGAGGCTGGGGGCTTCTGTGGGCAGGCTGTGGAGGGCCAGGGTATTTGACCTGCTGTCGCAAGTGGAGAGCAGGGTTTGGAGAAAGCAGCCCTGGTGCAGGGTGCCTTGCTGACCTCCGGGATCTCCTTCCAGGCGCCCCGACACCTCCTTCCTGTGGTTCACCTCCCCGTACAAGACTATGAAGTTCATCCTGTGGCGGCGTTTCCGCTGTGCTATCATCCTCTTCATCCTTCTCTTTATCCTCTTGCTGTTCGTGGGCATCTTCGTCTATGCCTTCCCGGTGAGCAGGCCTGGTGGGGGAGGCCCTGACACTGCCTTGGGGGAGTTCTTGGTCTAAATGGGGGAGTCCATCCTTGTCCTCAGAGAGCTCCCCGCCTCTGATGGAGAGAAGTGATTTCTGTCCGTGGAGAGTCCCTGGTCAGATGAGGAGACATAGCCCCTACTCTGGGGAGTCTCCAGTCAGGTAGGAAGACAAAGTCTACCCTTGGGGAGCTCTTAGTCCAGGGGGGAAACTGAGTTCTTGCCCTTGATGGGGAGGCATAGTTGTCTTCAGCAATCCTGTAGAATATGTGATCAAGGGGTTGGCAGAAGATGAGGCCCCTTGGGCTGGGATGGGCAGGGGAATCTTCCTGAAGGGTCAGGTTGAGGAACTGGGTCTGGAAGGGAAGAGAAGATGTGGATGACAGAGCAGGGGAGAGGGCCCTCTGTGTCGAGGACAGCACTTGCTAAGTCTAGAAAAAGAAGGAAGCCGGGGCTGGGAGAGGGTCCTGGTGCCCACCAAGAACTGTTACAGAGCGTGCCCTCCCCCCGTGGCAGGTGGGCACGAGGAAGATGTAGGTGCACAGGAGGCCGGCCCAGGAGCCCCTCACTTGCACACTGGGGTCCGTTTCACTTGGTAAGAGGTCAGCTGACACCTAGCAAAGAGCTCGCCAGAGTGTCACCAGAGACAGCTGCTGTGCTCTATTGGACCCTGCTTGAGGGACGAGGGTCCCTGCCTGTGCTTCTCCAGTCCTCACAGCTCAT